GTCAATTATCACTTCAATCATATGGTTTGCAGACACCCGCCTATTGTTCAATTACAGTGTAGATGGAACGCCAGCAATACATTGTATGTCGATTAGATTCATATTAACATGGCGTGGAGAACCACAACTGTTTATCTTCGAGGAAATCATTGATTTAACCACAACCGGTTTTTTGGCAAATTTCAGTTTTTATACCTTCACCTAGTCGCAAATGTGGTTTATCAACATCATCAGCTCAATTCCTCATTTTTTTATTTTATCCATTTGTACTTGCACAATGAATATCATGTAACGAACTTTTATAGAGTAGATTTATTTGATGATTCACGAGCAATCAGATTTTCAACATCGTTAGCAAAACATATATGAAACTTCAGGAAAATGGAAATTCTGTGTCTTTTGAGAGTCACGATTAAGGCACAGTAACGGTTTTTCTCGAGTAAATAAAATAGCAGCTAAATAATAGTAACTTAAGTAACAGCGAAGAAATGTGCTAATTAGGCACGAAAAGGATATGATGCTCACTCAGATTTAAATTCTAGGAAGGAAAAACCTGGTATATTGGAATTCTGCCCATTCACACCGCTATATCCGTTATTGATTGTGACATTAAATAAAAACGGAAATCATTAATATACATTTAATGTGTAAGTGAATCATCGAATGTCACGCTCCATTCACACTGCCTACAATTTTGTACTACAATTTTTCGTTTTTTTTTTAAGAGCTGTGAGGAATAAAATAAAACCTACTACCCACCTGACAACAAACCAAATATTTTCATGATTATTCTACGGTTTGTGGTAACATTACAGCATAAGGATTTATTGCCAATAGTCCGATGGAAAATGGCATAAACTAAAACAAAAAACGAAATGTAAGACATATTTGTGGTGCAAATACCAATTAATTTCAAAATTTGTCGGCACCTTCAGAAAAAATATTAACAAACCATTTTTGCAACAAACAAACTAGCTGGTTATAAAGGAAAAACTGTAAGTGTTGCCGTTAATTCTTTGACCATATCCGCATTTACGCTAAAACTACTATTGGTACTGTTAACCATGATGGCGACTTCGTTATTAGAAAGTTGAAATCGAAAGCGGTCTTGAGTCCGCATTCAGTGGTACGACATACTGAAGGTTAATTTAAGAATATGTTCATTACTTAGACAGTCAAGACAAATATTTCGGAAAGTTTTTAAAAATGTGTAGTGACTTTACGTGCAATATTGGAATTAAAAAATGATTTCATGTGTGATCCTAGTTATATTGCTGTGTTCTTCAGGTAACTCGCACGTACATTTTTATCCGTTCTTTACTGCACCTTAAAATTCGGCTATAGCAACTGCTGTCGTGACCAAAAAAATTGTCTGTTTCTTCATTTGTTCATTTGTGCTTTGTTCTTGCTTAAAGGATTAAAATAATTCTAATTAACGTTTTTACTCAAATAAGATTTATTACTCAGACCGCAAATAAAATAATTTCAAAAAACAATTTCGCTATATTAACATATCGAAGTAGCAAATCAAAATATGTGTATAGGTAGTATATGTGAAAATACCTAGAAAATAAAGCATTAGATAAGCTTAATGTGAATATACCTATTGATTGGAGTGAACTGTAAGTACCTATTAGGAGTTTCAATCAGAACATTTAAATTGATTGAACGAAAATTTGCAAAAGACGAAAATTTTTAACAAGTACCGAAACTCATTTTAGAAATGTTTTATTAACACTATAAATCAAAGCAACTACGGATTTGCTCTCCAAAAATATGGTTTTACCTTAAATAGAATAGTAATCTTGACGTCAATGTTGCAAAACTCTTTGAAAAGTAGGAACTTCAAGGGACTTCAGCCAACGACTCTGACCTTCAGAAAAAATCATAATCAGGTACAAATCTTTCGGATAAAGTACCAAGTATAGCCGATCTTGGATAATGTTAAGTCACATCTGAGCATCACTATTTTTAGATCTTTCTCATCGAGTACTGGTGATAAATTTTCCTGTGATAAAACCAAAAAATTAATGTTTTTGAAAAAGAGCAGGGAAAATGTAGACTTTACTAAAGACTGCAAGTGACCGATCCCAACATTTTTCACTTTTCAGGCCAGCCATTACAACAGTGTTTCTTTCACTGAATACTCGCATATTCCAGAGGTTTTAGAGGTTTTACTGGCCTCAAACCACACAATTTTTTTGTTGGTCGGCTTTGATGCAATTAATTAATTTGCTCTCAATTTGAAACGTCCCGGCCGTCAATAAAGCGCTTTTATCAACCACATTTATATTGTTTGGCAACAGCAATGCATTTAGTTTCATGAAAATAGATGCGGAAGGTTTTCATGTGCCATCGTTTCCTAAATACAAGATTTTACAATTTTCGCTGATCTAATTTTGGTTAAATTGACGACTTAATATATTTTTACACACTGATAATAATGTTTTATAGCAATTAAATATAAGCAATGATCCAATATAAGCAAAAAATTGTGCCTATACTCACTCAAGGAACTCCACAAAATAATTTTTGTTGTATGCTAAATATGAATGCCTACGTTCACAAGTAGTGTGCGGCCTATCTGTGCAAAAATACATCAATATCAAGAACCACAAGTGGTTTATTTACCGTCCAAGCAAAAAATGGTGAGAGATAAGTAGCCAAAAAGACCAACATAATTTTGTTCAACGACACGTTAGAAGCGAAAGATGGTGGCTCTTTACAAATCTTGCAAGTTTCAAGAAAGTAGTATGGATACAGAAAATTAAGTCAGCTCAGAAAAAACCTATGCCGGAAGTGTTATAAAAGGCTTGTGTAAATTATATTATACTTAACATCAAAGGTAGTTCTGATGTACTCGGAAGTTTTCACATTTTACGAAAATCGGCTGAACAAAAGTCTTCTATCAGATGCAAAAAACTGTACCAACATCAAGAGAGCTGTTCTCCTTATTAAAACCTATTCCATTATTAGATTCCTTGGATTGTTTCATTTATCATAAAACCATAAAGATGTTCTAATATTTCCTGTCTTAGCAATTATTCTAGGCTAACAGATTAAGAATTAATTAACACAACTTAAACTAATTGGTTGGGACTTAAACGAGCGATTCCATATTCACAGCGATATAGACTCTAGAGATATTCTAAATAGAACGTCTCTGCATTCAAGGATCCAGTTAGAGCACACGTAAATGGGTCTATTGAGGAGAGTGGATATGTTGTCGACGTATTTCAGAAAATGTTGGTCTTGCAGATTATAGAAACCTTGCGTAATGAGTCAAGCAATCACAATTACTTTTTCAAATGATCGACAAAATTTCGAGTAACCAGTTGCATTGCAAATTAAAAAATCGATATTCGAAATTTGACTCAATTTTATTGTATTACAAAAGCAAACTTTGTTATCCCTAAATATTAATTGTAAACAGCTCATTAAAATGCTTCTAATTAATAGAAAAACTGATGGTAATTGGCAAGGGCGCATACATGGCAAAATTAGCTAATATCTCAGCCGAAAAATAGGTTTGTCAGTTACCATTAATTTTTATAAATAGTTGGCTCTGGTATTTGCTCAACTTATAAAAGGAACGCGTACTTGATTGAGTTCTGCGCCTCTTCTCAGTGATTTAGGATTTCCAGCAAAGCTCAGAAGGGACAGATCCATTCCAGAAAACCATTTTCATAATTGTCAGTTATATGCGAACATGTCCGATATACAGTTTGCCACTCTGAAGATTCCCAACATGTTTACACTCTTTATTTATTTCCTCAGTGAGTTTTTCATAAAGGTTATCACAGCTGTTGAAATGTTTGATCACACTTATGATTACGAGTCGTATGCCATTTTAATTATTATTAAATTAACAAATTTAAATAGTGAAATGCTGGCTTCTGTAAAAACGTAATGATATTATAATGAACTCACTCAACAACTAGGTGGAAAGCTTAGATCTACTGATGAAACCTAAAAGTTCGAAAGCGGTTTCAAGATTATATCCTGTTATTTAGATAAATGCTGCTTCATTTTCTAACGGACGTTTATTGAACTAAATTTTCATTGGTAATTAGTTAATTTTTAAGATAACTTGCATAATCTATAGGTTTAGACAGTCAATCATAGGAAAAATTTAGCCAGTATCAATTGCAGTCAGTTTCCCTGATTTGCAATGTTATACGATTACGCAGATCCAATCTCCCTCGATCCTAAATCAATGTTTCATATGTTTTTAAATTTGTTACTTTAATTTTAATTTTATGACTTGCTATATTCAGGACATGGATATCGGATAAAAACGCAACAATGTGAATAAGGAATTGTTGTGCATGACTATTTATTGCTATTTACTATGTCGCAAAGTGCCAAAACGAAAAATTTTATGCAGAATAGAGCCAATAATCACACTCATTAACGTCTTAAAAGAAAAGATCAAGATAACCTTGTATTGTTGGCTAGGAATATTCGTCTACAAATTCAGCATAAAACACACTTCAAAACAGAAATAATTTAAAAAATCAAGAAAATATTTATTAAAAGCAATATTTCGATACGTGTAATAAACCCCTACTTTCGGTCGAGCTGATCGGTAATACGCCATCCGAGAAACACCAAATCAAAAATCTGCAAAAAGCAATTAGTAACATAGTTAACTCACAAACGACAATTTAGAAACAAATGTGAATCATTGTTCTAACAAAGTCGATTTTTTTTCAGTTTTCAGTCAAGATGACGAAGGTCCATACAAAGGAAAATTTATAGGTAAACTTAACTCTTATCACCACCAAGTATCCGGAGACGTATATGCTGTAGACAAATATACTCTCCTCCTGACCTCGTTCAACTACGATGGTAATGGAGCCGATACCTTTTTCTGGGCCGGAGCTGCAAACAGGCCCGGCCCTCAAGGATTTATTGTTCCCGATTCACGTGGGAAGTATGTAGCATTTAATTCGAATCAAGGCTTTCTAATAAATACATTTTCTTGGTTTCAGAACTAATGTGCTTGATCGCTACTTTAATAAAGACTTCACTCTAGTTCTACCAGAAAAGAAAAAAATTACAGATATTAAATGGTTTGCCATATATGATATTTGGTCTCAAAATACGTTCGGAGATATTTATATTCCCGAAGAATTTGAACCACCAGTGGCTCAAAAAGTATCTCAACTCACCGGCAAAACGAATTCCATTAGTACAATTTCAATTGAAATCTTAGACGCTAAACAAATTAAGCTGATTGGATTCACTTACGATGGAAAAGCTAAAGATGCGTATTTTTGGGTGGGTGTTGGAGCTCAGCCAGTATCTAAAGGATTTAAAGTACCAGACGAATATGGATAGTAAGTAGCAGACAACCAGAATAAAAGTTACCGAGCTGGGTATATATTTTTTTGTCTATTTTTTTGTTCTGTTTTGAAATAACATGTATAAAATGTAAAATCACATAAAAAAAGTCAGACAGATATTGTAAGTAGAGTAGGTGCTAGTACCTAGTTTCTGCTTGAAATTATGCTAAATTTAATTTATTTAAAAACATGTTAAATAAAGTTTAATCAAATGCTCAATAATAAATTAACGGGCAAAAGTGAATGGGGACTTTTGCAATTTATTCCTAATTTTGTAACTCTAATTTATCATTTCAGCTTGGATTCCCTTAAGGCATATAAGAACAAAACCATAATCTTAGAAATTCCAGGGGATCTCACGATTTTTAATATAGATTGGTTCAGCATATTCGACCATGACACAAATACAAATCTGGGCTCGATTATTATTCCAGAAGCACTGAACGTTCCTCCCTCTTTGGTGAAAGTCACTGTAAGTAATTTAATCTCTTTATAAACGCGTAATGTCAATTTTCTGAAAATGCATAAAATATATAAATATGAAAAGTGGGATTGTATTAAACGAGATGTTGAAAGAATGTGTTAATAATTTGATGTCCGTGCTTTTTTAAAAACATTCGACAGCAGTTCAAAAATTTAAAAAAATATTGAACAAAAATTTTTTTGTAATACAGCGATAATTTGGAATTTTTGTAGTTGTTTAGAATATAAAATTAACTTGCTATTATGGTCACAAAAGTACTATTATTTCAAAAGGCAGTTTTTTTATATTGCTATAACAAGCACAATAGTAACATACGCTTGTGACATAAGCAATAACGTTATAACACAAAAATATTCAAAAACCGGTTAAAATTTTTGTAGCAACGTTGAAAAGTGGAAAATGTTGAAATCCGTCTGGATAGAATGTTTAGTAAAACAACTTTTTATGTAAATACGCAAATGCAGAAAAAAAAGCAAATAGATTTCGTACAGGTCAGGATAAAGTCTTATATTTCAAACAGTTGAAAATGGAAAAAAAAATTAAATTTTATTTTAAGAATAACAATAAAGTGTAATGCATAATAATAGATCCTTCTCATTATAAGTTATAACCGGTATTGGTACACGGGACGTTAAAATTAGACGGAAGCGTAGGGACTTACATGGCAAATTCAGTGTGGTACGAAAATCTGGTATAATTTCCAGTTAAAGTTATTTAGTACGAACAGGAAGGTCGAAATTAAATATTTTTATTTTTATTTGAATTACCTCAACTTACTTGTAAGTGAAAGCTTACCTGACTATTATTGTACTGTATTTCCAAAACTGGTTCAAAGTCAGAACATCAAACTGAATTTGTCAAATGTGTTATTTGAGATTTTGCTTTCAGGTATTTTAAAGTAAAACTTATTAAAATGATAATTTTTCACGTGCCTTAGTAATGCCAAGTAATCCTTCAATTAATGTTACAAATAAAATAGTGCCAAAAATAAGATGATTCCAAGGGGAATTCGAAAATGGCATAAAATTCTAATGTTTTTTCTAAAAAATATATTAATTTCCATAGTTGCTACGATATTCTAATCCATTTCATACTTAATATTAATTTGTCCATGACTGTCTTGAATAAAAGGGGTGAAAGAATTTGACTAATATTTAATCTTGTTGGAAGATGCTGCGTTTGTGTAAAGGTTTTTCTATATTTTGCTAATGCTGTTTAATTTGAATCTATAAAAAGCACAAACATAAAAGTAGGTAGATACTCTAGATATCGCTTTACTAGTTGTCCGACGAATATGTCTAATGCATCGATTTCTTGGAAATTGCTATTATTTTTCGCTGACTAGGATCATCGAGGTTATTTCTTCCACAATAATCTAGGAGTTTTTGCGAAGTGGCTAGTAGTCTTTATCCTTGGTGGTTTGATGGATTGGATTTGCTATTATTTTCTTTTATTCCATGGTTCGAACAGGTAAAACGGAACAATAATTGTGGCGTTTTACAAAACGTTTTTTTTTTAATTTGCTTCAGAATAAACAAAGGAAAATAAATATGCGATTGAACGTTTTCCAAAACCGTTCAATTTTTACAGATCATTAAGGGCTTAACTATAGCGATGATATGCAAATGATTTAGATAAATGCATGCGGAATCAAAAAATTTTGATTAATTGCCAAGCAAAAACGACTCCAGAAAAATATTTCAAAATATGCAAAGTTTTTCACACTTGGAATTATAGCTCCCGTCAAGAGTCAAGACAAACTCTCTATATGGAAAGACTATATTTAACAAAAATTATAAACTCCTAAAAAAATTTGACTTTTGATAAATTCTAATCACTTCCTTGAAAAATTTGTTAAAGCTATGTTTTGGACAAAAGTATAAATGTGACATAATATTTTGAAAACTGCTTTGGATAGAATCATGAAGCAAAAATGATGGAAAATGAACTGAACATTAATTACTGCATTTTACTTTAATCTTTTTCATTAGAGAATAAAGCTTATTTAGCTTAATAGAACTAACTGATATAAATTTTGCTGTTGTCATGAATATGTGTCCAATATTATAGACGTAGAATTGCAAAATTATCCGTGCCAAAAATTCGCAAAAATGTACTATCGATATTAAATAAATTCAATGTACTCGATACCGTTAAAAGAAAGACTGTAAATCCGCAAAATATATATAATTATGTTGTGCCATAAGTGATAATGGTAGACACTCTTTAATAATTATAAAACAGTGTCTCGGAAAAATGTTGTCAGTTGTTTTATTCGGAACTCAAAGTTAAAACAAGTTTGGAAATTAACATTTTCTTACCAGCGCAGCATTAGAAAAATACGGTATGATAGAAGTACATAATAGGTATATTGATGGTCAAATGGACGAATGTGAAGACAATTTTATAACATTTTTAAATACTCGCACTTGGAAATCCTAAGTAACTACACTTAACTACTGATGCATTTGAAAGCTCATTATTTTATTTTTTCGCAGATTAAAATTTCTGAAATGGAAATAGGTCTTGGACGCATTTATACAGGGTTGCTCATTAGTGCGTCAAAGTGCGATATCTCAGTAAATATGAAGTTTACAAGAAAATTCGTCCAACGAAAGTTTTTCACGTTTAAAAGGTCCGCATTCTAAAATTACTTTCCAATATACAGGGTGCATCATAAACGTGTGGTAGTTACCAACTCTGGTTTTTTAAATGAAACCCCCACTTTTTTTTGTTATTTTCAGCTTGGCCGTTCAATTTTAATTTATGTTTGTTTCAACCGTTTTACCTGAAAAATTTACGATTTCCGAGTTATTCGTAAAAATGTGAAAGTTTTGACA